CAGGTGGTTTATGGATGGTAGTGATTTACTGCAAAAAAAACCCATTTGGGGCTATGATTTTTTCTGGGTTTTTTTAGCAGTACTTATTATGATTTGCTTTGTTATTATTATTTTTTTTTTTCTTTTTAAGGTATTGTTGGTGTGTTGTGAGATGTCAAAGTTGAGCTTTTGTTTGATTTGTGATAGGAAAATTGTGTGAAACTGATTATTATGATGCCATTTTAATCTTGTTTAGTTGACGAGTCGAGTAAGACTCGAAAATATGGTATTTTTTAAAGTTCGGCTTGTTGATATCGATGAACGAGCAGAGTTTGAGGTCGTTTATCATATTGTTTAATTAAGGAGCTCGACTCGATAAAAGTTCGAGTCCGAGGCTCGACCCCGACTCAGTTGACTACTTTACATTTCTTTAGTCCTTTCTTTTGTATACACCCTGCAAGAATTTATTAAACAAATTGAATGGACAAGGTAAAAGCTCATCAAAAGTCTTCAAGCACCTAAAGTCTACTTCAATAATTCATGTATTATTATGTGATGTAAGGCCCAGAAAGCAGTCAGCTCGAGCATTATGCAACAGCCAACATGTGCAAGGCCAAAATTCATGCACTTGAAATTGTCGAAACCGTGTAATTTGCTTGATATTGTTATTTTGTTTAGATTTTTTAGCTGGGTATGACCAGTTTTGTATAAAGTTGTCAGTGAGATTTTAAGTTTATATTAAAATAATTATTAGAATAAAATAATTAAAATTAACTTGATGTAAAAGTAGGAAAAAGATGATGATGTGAAACTATGGTTAATTAAAATTTTGTGAGTGAATGTCTAATTAATTAAAATTGATGTAATGTGTTAGAATGATTGAATAATATTATTTGATTATATTGATAATAATAAAATAATTGAGTTAAATTTAAATTAAAATAAAATTATTGGTTAAAAATGATTGATTTTTTTTTAGAAAATTGGTATCCAAGTATGCACTTAGCTATTGGTTTCATTTATTTATTTTATCTCTATTTTATTTATTTATATTATTGTTTTTAGTATGGCGTGTTTGAAGATTTCTCTTAACTAAGACGGGGATAAATCATAATGAATGTGATGTGCAATTCTTCCACGAACCGCTCTTTCGGTGATCTCGAACCGGTTTGACCTTCGGAGTCGAGAGTGTTCTCGACGATAGACCTCCGACGATCAAGTCAATTCTGAAATTATGAAAGAGGATAAAATGCCTCTTTACACTGAGCAATGTTCTCAAATCACATTCAAAGCTGAAATGACAGTGCCTTGTGATCACAATTTGGGTCATACAACACCATTTTCATCTTTTCCTTTCTATTGTTGTCTTCAGTATCCTCACTATCATCATCTGGTGTGTTTGAATTAATTTCATCTGAGTCTCCATACTCTAATGCATCCTCTTCTCTGAATAGTTCACTTGGATCACCATTTGTGGGTACTAATAACCCTGATCCACTCTGAGAGTCATCTTGTGTACTGTTCATTTTATTGGCACCAAAGAACCTTCTTTTCCTTGCTAGAAGGTACTCCTCCTCATCAGTTCCCAAGTTAGCCTCAAAAAGTCCATCTTTAGTAGAACTCCAATCTGATGGGTTACAATCATCATCATTATCATCATCGTTATCATTATCATTATCATCATCGTCATCACAAGTATTAACAGTAGGCTGAACATGATCAGTTGTTCCTCCTGCCCCCTTTTCACCAGCATTATTGATCACAGAGTCTTGTGAAGCCTTAGTATTAACAGTAGGTTGAACATTATTGATCATTATGCCCATTTTTTCCATGATCTAATACTCGACCATTGTCTTCCTCCGCGAAAAGAAAAAACCCTCCTTCCTCAATCTCGTCGTCGTCTTCCGATTTGCAGTTGTCGCCTTCCTCAGCGGCCATCAAGCTTAGCCGGCGGTCGCCGGCCCTTGACCGCTTGGATCCTGGCCCTCTTT